GGGCCAGGGAGGGAGCCCCTCGGGGACGGTGGCGCCCGGCCCTGAGGAGCTGTGGCAGCGGCTGCTCTCAGCTGGGGGGCGGCAGGGATTGGGGGTTTCTATGGCAACGCAGTCGCCTCCTTCCCTTTCCCAACGACACTGAGGTGAAGGGGAGACACCCCCCCCAGTGGCGCTCCCCCACCTCCACTAACGTCCGCGGAGGGGCCGGCCGAGGGGGAAGAGGTGCTGCTCGCTGCCGAACGGGGTCAGGTTCCCCAGCCCGGCGGAGGCAGAGCTGCACCACCCCGCCCGTCCGCCCTCTCCAGCTCCGGTCAGCGTTTCTTAAAGGAAGGCCGTGCCCTCGGCAGGCTGGCGGGTGTAAACTCGCTCAGCTCACCTGAGAGGCGATCAGACCTCGTGGTGTGGGCTCATGTGTAGCCATGAGTACGCTGTTGTAGCCTTGGTGGAGACTGGAATTACTGAAACGTGTGTAAAAAGTCAAGGCTCTTCATTCGTAAAAGTCGTGAAAATGGTTCTATTATGCTCCTCGACTTTCTTGTTCTTGTTTGTCATACGACCAGCACTTTAAACGTTTTTACAGCTTTCACTATGGAAAAGATTTAATGCTTTATCAATGTGCAAAGCTGCCTACCTCTAGCGGCAAGTGCAAGTTTCAGCTGTATCTATCTACTGTGACCAAAAGAAATATTGATTAAGCCTGAAATAGCATTAGGATCCTTCCAAACAGAGATGGGTTCAGTTTTTGAACACTTCTTTTGTGTTTTATCACACAGAGGAAATGTGCACTTCTTTATAGCCTTTAGTGTTTTTCATGGTTAAGGTAAGCGCTCGATCAATGCTGTATAAGGAATTCCCTTGCCCTTCTAAAAAAACCCTCTGACATTCTTTAAAATACAAAGAATCCAAACTATGGTATCCCTTTATTGACTTTGTTGCCTGTGCCATAAACAAGTTTTTGCAGGTTGCTCTCCTAAGGAGGGGGATTTTATGATAACTAGATATGTCTTTGATGTAGTCCTATTTCTTTATGAAGTATTATTTCCCGGGCAGCAACATGCATCAGAGAGTACATTGTTTCCTTTTTTTACTACTACATTCCTTTTCCAAACAGTATTTAGCTCAAACACTTGTATGTACAGGTGGTTTTGTGCTGGTTTATGACGTTGTCTTTTCCGCTTTTGTTGTGTTACGTGATTTTTTTTCACTTCATGTACTGTTACACTGATCTGTGTCTCAGCCAGGACATTGTAAGTCTAGATCTGCAGAGAATAACTTTGGTTACGTTATAAGCATATATAAAGCCTTGAGTAGAAGCTAGGTATTTTCTTGCACTCTTATTATTTCACCTGCTTGGTTAGAGACAGGATTTTGTTCATGTAATGGAATTCCAAGCGGCTGTTGTATCCAGCCACTGATGGAAAGTTAAAACCACTCATGATTTATTTTGCTTCCCAATGGCTGAGCATTTAGGGTACTGCTACATCAAACTTCTGAGAGTGAGAGAGGAGGAGAAATTTCTCCCTAGCCTCATCGGTTTGGGGAAGAAGCTTTTTAAAAAAACGGCTCTTGGGCGTGGAGGAACTTGATTCCTTGCATGGCAGGAGAGCTGGTTGAAGTTTATGGAAATCGGAACTAGTATTATCTTGGATGCACCTGTTTTACTGGTAAGCAGAATCATCCAAAATAGTCAGTTTAGGGTGCTTCTGCGTATGATTGTACGTGTATAAGGTTTTAATCAGAATAGATGTTTCAGGCCTCAAAATAAGTTCCATGCGTAAAAAAAGGTAAGAAGTTTAATGATTTAAATGTAAGCCAGGCATTTGAAATGTCCAGCGGCAGGCCATTGGTGTTTCTTAAGCTTAGCCACGCGTGTCTGAAGGCTGCAGTAGTAAGGTTGTCTGAGTTGGGAAGGGAATGGGGATGCAGAGGTGTGCCGAGCACTGCTGTGTGATGAGAAGCAGTTGGCCGTGTGCTGTAGCTTTCAGATATGTTACTGTGAATTAAGTCAAGATGAAAGCCACTTTTCAGCAGGCGGCTTAAAGTAGCTGCCCTTGAGGGGTTGCATTGTAACTGCTCTCCCAAACTTGCTGCCTGGCCCGAATAAATTCACCCCCACACTCAAAACCTATTGACAGAACATGGGAATTTTGCCATAAGTGTTCTGGATCAGCATCTTTATTATGAAATTAATGAATGAATTTTAAGTCCTTCTTGTCTTTAAGTCTTGTACAGAGTAGGAAGATCTTTTTGCACTGACTTTGTCATATTTGTGCACTAATACTGCATTATGACAGCAAGTAGAAAGTAGTGAAACAAAAAAACCCTTTACATTAAGAAAATATTTCAGCTACTGATTTTTTTAATAGTATAATTTATTAAAAATGCATTAGATTTTGCTGTATAATAAATATATAAATTATATTTATAAATTATATTTATTTTATATATAATACTTAAGCAAACGAATAGCCAGTAAGTTGATTCCTTTGTAAAAGAATAAAATGAACTTCTTAATGCCTTCCATTACTTTTATTCTAGGGCCTGGAGCACCTGATAAAAATTCAAATATCCATATGTTCTTAATTTAAAAACTTATTTTAAGGGATACATCTGCCCTACCAAGATACGAAGGCAGTAGATTTTTTATTTATTTTTTTTTCCCCTTGGTGGTTGCTGCTTCTCTCATTTTTTGATGCAACTCATGTCAGATCTCATGGAATCCTTCCAGTGATTTCGAAAAATACCAATTTTTTAGTTGCTCACAATAGCATTTGTGACTTTGAAATTTTTTTCTACTTACAGACAAGGAATGAGTGCCGTCAGAGCTCGGCTGTTCACTGTTTCCTCCACGATGATGGTGTGGTGGTATTTTTAAAAGCAGATTCTACCCATCTATTAAGACAAAATCTGTTGTAAGACGTGTAATGTAACAAGGGTAACAAGATTTCAGATCAGCTGATACACTCATCCATGAAGGAAACACATTGTAGATCCTGTAAGAAATTCACTTGTGTGCTGAAACGTGTCTGTTGACAGTAGCTTTATCTCTAGAGCTCTTAGTCATTAAAATGATTAGTCCTGATCCGTTTAGGGTACTGAATCCCGTAAATTCTTTATAATGAGAGTCCATCACCTTGTAATGTTTGTGCACTGCTGCACTGAAAGATTCTTATTTTATATTATAAATATTATATATTTTATATTATATTTATATTTTTATTTTTATTTTCTGGAGTTTATAAAAGCTACGGCAGTATAAATGTAAAAGGCCTTGGTCATTATTAAAATATTTCGTATCCCATAAATCTTGCCCCTCCCAGACAATCATGGCCATAAAACGACTGTGATCTATATCGCAGTCATCATTACCTTTGTGGTTTGCAACTGACTTTGTGAATCAACCCAATGAAGAAAGCAGAACTGTGCTCTCAGTCTGCCCTGTTCGAAGTGCATGCCATTTGGCGCTTAGAGTCGCACCTTCCTGGTGACCTTCACGGTCCTCTTCAGGCAGAATACAGTACCTTATCTGGAGCGATAAAGGTGTATGCTGCGGGTCAGAGTTGAATTTTATCACAGCAATTTCTTCTCAGCCAAAAGCGTGTTGCTTTTACATTGTTTAGATATGTGTGTGTACACACATACTTGAATATATACTTTATATTTTTGTATTTGTTTGCATAGTTACTATGTTTACTAATAGTTCTTATATTTCTATATTCAGTGACACTCAAGTTTTAAAAAAAAAAAACAAACAAAAACCACTTTCTGACCTTTTTTCCCAAAAATGAGAATATAATGGAGAACCACGTGGATTATCAGCAAACTTCCTTTGTTCATTTTAGTGAACTTTTTGGTTTAGTGAACTTGCCTGCTATCCTCCACTCTTACGCAAGTGTCAGGTCTTTTAAATCAAGTTGCTGTTGCTTTTATTGATCTGTTTTAAGTTCCCTGTGTTAAGAGGGGCATTTCAACACCCTTTTTACAGATTTTGTGGAACCCTTAATTTGTCCCTCTGTGTTAAATATAATTAATGTATTTGAATACAAGCCTGGATACTTCTGATGTTATACCTCTCTTTCTGAAAGGTTCCACATGGTGTACAGTAAATGTCTTCTGAGGTTATTTTTAGTTCAGCCACATATTCTGTGTGTCTTGGTTTTTTTAATATACAAAATGTTTATTTCAGTCTCAATGACTGGTTTGCAAGAGTGGACCATTTAACATTTTTTGGTTTGGATGAGAAAAGAAATTTATTAAGTATTTCCAATGTAAGCAACTGACAGTTACTAGGATGTCATTAGGCCTCCAATGAGAGTTGGAGAGTTCATTTTTGTGGACATTTTCAATTCATATTCTCTCCATGAAAAGTGGTTTGTCTTGTCCTTACCTAACTGCTCAAATAGCAGTATTCATTTGGGTGTGGTAGTCAATAAACTTGCTGACCACAAAATCATTTTATTCCATCTTAATTTTCTCCCCTTGTGCTTTTAGTATTAGAAATAAAAAAAGATTTTTAAGGAGCACATGCTTAATTTAATAGAATCACCTTTATCATTGAAAAATGGCTGTCAGTTTCTTCCCATGACATGCAGAAAATGATCATTACCTATTCTTTATACAATAGGCATTTCTTTTCCTTTTTGCTCTTATATCTTAAATTTTTAAGGCAGTTTATCAGGAAAGGTATACTATTCCTTCTGTGGATGGAAAATAAAACTTTGTAGAACTGTAAGTCTGAGGAGAGGCAAAAGTAACTGGTTGAGTTCTGTGAACAGTAGCAGTCACTGCTGGGTAATTTTGTAAGTGTCAAGCTTTTTTTGTTGTTTTGCCATCTTTTTGTCCATCAAAGCTGTCATGTATTTAGACAAAAAAAAAAAGGAACAGTAAGAAATAAGATTTTAATCTTTTTTAATTTAGCTGTTACAAGAGAGTTACTTTGTCAAGTTTCTCACAGGAAGAGGAAGGATGATGTTATATTTAATGCTGAACTGGTACTGAGATCTAGCATTCACTCTTAGAGCTACCACAGACTTATAACCCTGAAACAACATAATGCCTCTCTTTGTCTCAGTTCTCTTAAAATATAAACAGTACTTGCCAAGAGATGTTTGACATGTGGAAGTTATTTAAAGGAATAAAGGGCAAATTAGATTTGACCTTCATTTGAATATTTCAGTACTGGTGGTAGTGGGAGATGGTTGTTAGTCTTCCCCAGTCATGTCTTTGAACGATGGACAAACAGCACCCAGTTGAGCCGACAGCCACAGTTTCAAGGTCCTCTAGGTGGAAATTTAATAGTTATGCAAATTCCATTATAGAAAGAAGTGAAAATTATTTTACTACATCTAATCTCCATGAGCTTTTTTTCACTGCTAGTTTCTGTGTTAAGAGCAATATTTAGTTCTTTTATTTTAGCAAGAAAATATTTTATCCATTGCATTTTAAGAAATTATGAAATGACTTTAATTCCATCAAGATTAATGTAGGAATATGGCTCTCAATTTCCACAGTCCTGTGAAAGTATCGATCACATATGAAAAGTACCTTATTTACTACAGTAAGCCACCATTTGCTTTTTTGCATTTTTAAAACAGTTATTTATGGCTGTTCTTTACTTGAACTTCTGAAAATTAAAAAAGTAACATTATTATGAGCAAAAAGCTCCTTAAAATGCTTGGGTGACTAACATAGTTTGACATTCTTATTTATGAGTGGAATAAAGAGCTCTATATTATACCTAGAAAAATAACAAATATGGGACATGACTGACGGAAGAGGAACAAATCCAAAAATCGAGAATTTGTCAAAAAATACCCTGCTAGCAGTTTGGAGAAGCAAGAGCTGAAGGGCCCCTGCTGATCTTGAGTCTGACACTGTATTTCAGGAAGAGATTGTTCTCCCTAGTAACTAACATCAAATTTGATACACTGACCTTTAGGTTTTTAATTCCTTTAATTTGTGTCTTATCTGCTCACACTTAGTATTTTTAACTGAGTATTTTCATTGGCTTTCTTCAAAGAGTTTGAAAGCAGTGTGAATTTGATGGCCATCCCTTTGCCTTGTGTTTTGTATCACGTTAAACCTTGACTTTGTAACATTCTTTTACTCAAGTAGTCTGTGCAGGTCTTCTAGCAATGTAGACATGATACGATCAAGCCCAGGTGAGCAGTTGCACATACATCTTGCTCTCTGCATCACAAAAAAACCAAAACAACTTCGAGAATTTGAAGTGTTTTAACATCACAATATTATGCGTGGTTGATGGTGTCTTCTCTCAGTAACGTCTCTGAAGCTGTGTGTAGGTGGAGACTTGAGCATGGATAGCAAGAATATTACGGATGAGTCTGGAACGGGTGAGAGAAGCCGAGAGTGTTGGAAATTAAGACACAATCTGAAATTGGGAGGAAGAGCTGTGACTCTACAAGGACTGTGAGTGGCTAACAAAGACTGTGAGCAAGAAGTGCTTTAAGAGCATTGGGACATAACACAATACATGTAGTAAATGGACTTGTGGAATGGTAATGGAGAGTATTAGGGCAGAAGGATTCAGGAGGCTCTTAATTTTGATCCTCCAGTGTTCGTCTATAGAGCTGTTGCAGGTGTTTCTAAAACAGAGAATAGGACTGGATGCGTGCTTTCTAGAAGCATCAGTCCTCTTACTGTGCTGCACTGGGACGGGATAATTCAGTTGAGGTGTTGCCCACATTCACCAAATGGTCCTGTCAGTTCTTGTGGTATAGAACCTGAGATGCTGTAAAATGTTTCTACAATGATAAGGACCGCTGAACTTTTTGTTTAATTTTGTTGGTTTTGTTTTTGTATAACTGAGATCTGATCTGGAAAACATTTTCTTTATACTGATATATTGCAGTTATTGGAGTGAAAAATTGCTTTCAGATCTCTAGCCCAAGACTACTCCTGGAAAGTGTTTTCAAAACACTGGTACTTATGTATCCAAATGATTCCTGCTGTGGGCAGACTGGATTATACCAAGCCTAAAATTTTACCTTGTTTTTCTGACTATATTTTACAGAATCTGGGAAGAGGCACAGCTGGCAGCTTCCCCTCTTTTTCTCTAAGTGTGAGGGCTTTCCTCATCGTAATGCATAAACCCTGTGTAAACCCTGTGATGAGGAGAGATGCAGCACAGTGTGAATGGGGTAGCTCTGAAGAAACTGCAGTGCCTTATAATTGTGTTTCCTGAACAGTAATAACGGAGAGTGCTGTAGCCTTTGCAGTATGTCTCCTTAAATCTCCTCTTAGTGTTTCTGAACAAAACAATGAAAACCTATACACACAGTACTGTCAAATACAGAAGGAAATAAACTAAAGGTATAATTTATCTGAAGCAGTAGATATTTGTGCTTCTTATTATATTAGAAAGTAGGTAGTTTTTAAAAAATTGGTTTCAAAGTAATAGCGACACCTGAAATAGCTAGAATTTGTATCTGCAGTCTTTCAGTGCTTTGTAATCCTCAGTGACCATATCCTCTCCCTTGTGAGTCTGGGAAATACTGTCATCCGAGCTATAGAAACTATGAAGCCTACTTGGGAAGCGAGACACAAACTCAGCGTGTTGTCTAAGATCACCCAGAATATCTGCACAGAGCAGGGAATTGAACTAAGTATTCTCTGGGTCTAAGCTTGAGTTGTAATGATTAAAAATCCTTTGGGCTCCAGTTCTAGCACTGCTGATATCTTCTCTATGATTCTTCCCCGTTTTCGGGGGGTGGGCGGGGTGTGTGGTGGAAATGACTGTGGTGGTGTTGGAAATGACTGTGGTGGTGGTGGTAACTCTCAAACTGACGGACTTACTCAGTGCTTGTAAAGCTCTTAGTATTTTCTACCTGAAAACCTCACAAAGATGAAATTAGATGTTAGGATTTTATGGCCAAGTCAGAATCTTAGTACCATAATTGGATTTCTGTAAATGTATTTTAGGTCTCCTATGTGATTAGAGATGAAGTGGAGAAGTATAACCGAAATGGGGTAAATGCACTTCAGCTGGATCCAGCATTAAATAGACTCTTCACAGCAGGCCGAGACTCTATTATAAGGATATGGAGTGTCAATCAGCACAAGGTAAGTCATGAGAGGATTCCGATGTCTAAACCTACTTTTTTCCAAGTTATCATGCTAATAAGCTGCCTACTGGTGTACATCTGATACTGTTTTTTAACAGCTGCCAATTATTATGATAGGAAAATCATTTTGATATTGCTCATGCTGTGATATCTTGCATAGCTGTAGAGTTCTTTCACAAAAAGATTCTGGAATAGTGACTTCAAGCAACTCCGCATTAGGCAATTTTTGATCCATTCGAAGGTTGAAGAAAGTATCACAACAGGATCTGATAGTCACAATCTTTTCCATTTGTGATGAGATCTTACAAACTTTTTTTTTCTTAATTTGCAGCAAGACCCTTATATAGCATCTATGGAACATCACACGGATTGGGTAAATGATATTGTGCTCTGCTGCAATGGTAAAACATGTAAGTACTTAAATGTTTGAAAACTACAGTGTTCAGAAATTGTGTGTAAATTGTGTGTTATCTGCTGCTTTAATTATTTTCCATCTTTTCTTAGCATGTAAAATTAATTTGTGATGTGTATTGTAAATTTGATAAATAGTGTAAGCAGATGTTTTAATGAAAATTTAAATGTGTGTATAAATGATTCTTTTAATGTTTTTGAAAAGCAAATTAGAGTAGTACAAATATGCTCTAAAGTAACATATAAGCCATTAAAGTTTACTCTTTATTCTTTCCAATTTAGTGATATCTGCTTCTTCAGATACTACTGTTAAAGTGTGGAATGCACATAAGGGATTTTGCATGTCAACACTAAGGACGCATAAGGTGAAAAACATTAGCTGTAAATACTGTATGTTATCACTGACAATCTTTTAAATATTAAGGTGTAGACTTCAAATGGATAATGTTGTTGATTTTATGTTGTTATATTTACTTTATTGTAGGATTACGTGAAAGCCTTAGCATATGCAAAAGATAAAGAACTGGTAGCATCTGCCGGGCTGGACAGACAGATATTCCTCTGGGATGTAAATACTCTAACAGCACTGACTGCCTCAAATAACACCGTAACAAGTAGGTACCTAGGGAGGGAAGGCAAATGCAGTGCATTTTATTGAGTAGCATAATCTGTGAGATCAGTTTAAAACTATAGATACCTGTTTCTGTGTATACATAAAAAATGTGCAAGAAATTTTAAGGTGGTTTTGGTATGTAATCAGTCCATTTGTTGCGTTATATAATAGCTGAAAATCTAGAGCAGCCAACAGTCATGGCATTTAGAATAGAGGGCAGGTCTCTTTGAACATTTTCTCCTGAAATGTAATGTGCTGGTATTCTCTGAGACTTGATAGAGCTTTAGCTTGAGAAGCTTTTTGCTCCTCAACTAACCCGTTATAGAAATTTTCCCTTAGGTTATTTGTCAGTGCATTTTCTGTGTATTATAATTTGGTTGTTTTTTGAGGGTTTTTTTGTTTTGTTTATGTAGATCTGCAAAAAGTGCAGTACAGCTCCTAAAGCAGAACTTGATACATTTATCAAATCTATCTGTCAGAAGAATACAGTTACTAGATAAATTTAGATTAAAAAACGTGGGAAGTAATACTAAGCAGTAATTACATGTAAGGATAGCATACTAGTGAGATCGAACTCACTAGTTAGATATTAGAACGTGAGGGGAAACTGTCCGTAGACTCTACTTAACAGGGTTAATCCTTAATGTCGTCATCATCATCTTTTAAGAAGTGGTCTGTCCTGCTTCTCTATCCCAATAAAGACATTACAATAAATTATGAGATCTTTCCTCATACAGCAATTCCAGCACCGCTTTCTTAGAATAGTCAAGGTAGAGCTGGTTAAGTTTCTCTTCTGGGAAGTATGGCACCAATCTTCAAGTTCAGTTACATTTAGTTAGTGAATAACGTAAATCTGGGTCATCAGCATCCTGGTTTGTATCAGCTATTTTGCAATATATTTTTTCAGAAAGAGGTCTAGTTTGACCACAGTGTGTTTTGCTGCCTATAGGTAGATTGTGAAAATAGTGTTCAAAGTGACTGGTCTCTTTCATTGTATAGTTACGGTTTGATTCCTCTTTAAACAGTAGCAGAGCCTCAGATGTATGCATTGGGAAAGAACGTACCATCTTGCTTCACTGCCACACTGGAATTTTCTAAATAAGACTACTTGCTTCCTCATTCATAGGTTCGGAATGACTCAAGAAAAATCTGCAAAACTAAAATTTGGAATTGGCCCAACAGACTTTTAAGAAATTTCAGGAATATGTGATTCTGTAAATAAGAGGCAGGCATATAGTTGTTTTGATGTGGTTTTTTTAATTACTGTTTTGGCTAATTCTGAAAGGTGTGTTAATTTTATGGATTTGGTAGCTTCTAAAACTAAAGGTGCATCTGGTGGGCAGAACTGTCAGTTTTGCATTTGTTCTGTCTGCAGGACTTTTTAATTCAAATACAGCCTTATGCTGGCACGTCTGTGTAGCCTTCAGAAGAGAGATGGCTTCTAGTGAGCTGTGTTGGACTGCAGAATAGTATTGGGATGGCACATGACTGCACATAACTAAGTAGATTTACCTTATATTTCCCCGAAGTTTTCTTTCACTGAAAGTAGAATTATTCTATCACCAAACTTTGCTGATAACTGTAAGTTATGCTATCTTCTGATTGAACAGGGAGTTTTTGAAGGAAGAGTTTATTTGCTGGCTAACAGGAAGACTCGGTTGTGGGGCGGGGGGGAAGGATTTCTTGAGCACCGCAACAGTGATACAGAACTTAAATGATTCAAGTGAGTCATAATTGGGAGATGGGGAATACTGAGGAGCTGATGCTTGTTTTTGAGCCCAAGATAAACTGAAGTGGAGGCATTACCTCTAAGATGACAGAAATAAATTTGCATTTCTAGAGTTAGAACAGTAATGCTTCATAAGGGGGAGAAAGGGGAAGCGGGGGAGTTGTTTTTCTTTCTTTCTAGTGCTCCCAACTAACAGTGTTTCTGTTGGGAAGAACACAGTATATGTCCTTAAAGAAGCTGGTTTTCCTCAGTCCTTTCAAACAATATTGATTTTTTTTCAGAGTGCAAATGAAGATTGTTCTTGTGCGTTAATTTCCTATCTGATTACAGGGAAGCCAACACTAAAAGAAAGCCTATTTTTAAAGAGTCTCTCAGTCAGCATAGCCATAATTTAAATTAGGTGGAGAGATTTTGCTTTTGAGAGATAGTCCTTTCCAGAAGAGGGTAGAGTCGAGCTTCGCTTTTCTTCTGGCATAAATTTTGCTTCTGTACACTTAAGATTCTCTCTTCCATTCCTGACGTCTAGCTTGCGATAACTCTGTACATTATCCTTTCATAAATTTATATGGTTGTTGAACAGTGTGCTAACCTTCAAGAGTTTTCAGTTCTGCTTTTTGCCTTCAGCTATTCTCTGGGGACAGTGGAAGACTATGACTTGATTTTGGCTACAAAATAATAGATTTCATTTGAAAGTTTACATTTGAATAGCCATAGCTAGTTAAGAGGACCCTGAAGTAAAGCTGCATAATTCTTACACCGTGACAAAATATTTATGATATTGGGTCACAAATACTGAGTTAGAAACTTATTTCCCTAATATACATAAATCATTATATAAAGTTTCACATTTTTGCTGGCAATACAGTTTGCTATTCTCAGCCTTTTTGGCATGCTGATCGTATGGTTTTGAGGCTTGATGAAATGCCTAATGGTGCTCTCTGAATAAATGATTTTCATTTGCTGTGTCTGTGCTTTTCCCAGTTGAGGGATTGGTACTTTAATCTGTCCAAAAGTAGATTGGGCTAGAAGGTATAGAATTCCTCAACTCTGATGACAGTTGTGATGCTAAGGAGTTGCCATATGGTTTTCCCAAATGCAAAGGCGGCATCCGTGCTCAAGTAACACATTTCAGCACTGCAGTATAACTTCAGTAATGCGTCTCTGCTGAACTAAGAGAAGAGCCTTTAGTATGTAATGTAGAATTTTACTGCTACTTGGCTTGGAAAAAAATCCCTGCACTTAAATCCAAATGCTATGTATTATAAGATCACATAGAAGTATCATTCTCTAGTAAAGTAACTGAGAAGAGCAAGAGTATCTTGATGATCCTGGCACTGAACTGTGGTGCCAAAAGGGCACCAGGACTGTAATGACTGTAAGTCTGAGGGGTCACTTTGGTTTTATGCTAGCAGCAGATTAAGAATTGGGATGAGGTTTTCCTAGCAATATGCTGCCTACAGTCTTTCTTTTTTTTTTTTTTTAAAGCAACTCTATATATGGGGTAGAGTGGCACTGTTTTCATGGATCGAAGGGTATTAAAATACCCTAAAATAACATTTTTGAGCGAATAAGTATGTTTTTCAAATGACAGCATTAAAACTGAAAATGTAAATTTTATTTTGAAATAGCTTCTTCCCTGAGTGGGAACAAAGACTCAATCTACAGCCTTGCAATGAATCAAATGGGAACAGTTATTGTGTCAGGGTCCACTGAAAAGGTAAGCAAAAATCTGGTAAGGCTCATTCCAGTTCAGTTCAAAGTTAAGTATAAAGAGACAATTTTATTCATTTTGAATGTCATGTCTGTAGCAGATTTTGTGTTTTTAATAGTGAGGGTTGACACTTTTTTTTTTTTAAGCGGGAGTGTAAGTCTAGGATACAAACACCTGCCTCAGTCTGAAGATGTGTATATATCCATATAGTTTTAATACACAGAAGAGGCAATCAGATCATCTTGTGTAACCCTCTCTCTATCAGAGATCATTACATTTCACCACACGAGCTCTGATTTTGGGGGCACGTTACTCAGATGATTATAAAAACTGTAGCATTTGCCACAGGTAAGAAAGAGGTGGTACCAGCAATTTGTAAGACTTGTGCAGGAGGTGGGAAATGAAGTGAGCTAATGAAGTTCAAGTGTTCCCAAGAGATAGCCCATGCTCTTTGTTGTAAAGGAAGGTGAAACACCCTAAAGTCACCTGCGAGTTGTTTTTTTACCTCATCTAACCTTGAGAGAATTTTATTTCCAAGTCAATATAAAAATGAAAATAGGATACACCAGCGAAGCATCTGAGAGGATTCTCAGAATCTGTTTTTTACCCATATCACACTATCCTGTTTCCAGTCACTTCCATTCTTCAATTTCTTAAGAAGACAGAACAAATGAAATTAAAATCAAGCGAAGAAAATCACATCTGATTATTAGAGGTGCATAAGATCTAGTTATGTCTGTCTTGTTCTAATGAAGCATGTTTTTGGTGATGGATGTCTGCGTGTTCAGAATAAGGGTCAGTTTATTTGGAAAGGCTTAATTTTCTGTAGAGAAAATGCATTGGTGGGAAGAATGACGTTAATGCCAGTTTTCCAATGTCTGTTTATGTAGGTTCTAAGGGTGTGGGATCCGAGAACTTGTGCAAAACTAATGAAACTCAAAGGGCACACGGACAATGTAAAAGCTTTGTTGTTGAACAGAGATGGCACCCAGGTATGTGCTTTAACTTGAGACAAAGGCATTTTACAGAATGCAGAAATGTCATTAGTCTTTTTCAATATAATTATTTTATGTCATAGATTACAGAAGGTAGCTTAACAAGTATTTTACAGGTATTTAGTGATTAAGGTAGGGAGGCTGGTGGGTGAAAGCTCTTACAGGTCCATCTAGGTATGAAGGGGGTGGTTTACATAAAATGTTTGGAAATTGTGACTAGAATTGTTAACTGCCAGTCTTTGTTTAGCACTGTCTTAATGGAAAAATATAACCATAAGAATTATGAAAGCTCTTTATGGAATAAATGATTTTAAAAGACTTAAATACCTGCTTGATTTAAGTATGATGGTTGTTGCTCAGTGTCTTTCAGGCAGCTCTGATGGGACTATCCGCCTATGGTCCCTTGGGCAGCAGAGATGTATAGCCACATATCGAGTCCATGATGAAGGTGTTTGGGCTCTGCAGGTCAATGAAGCCTTCACTCATGTTTATTCAGGAGGAAGAGACAGGAAGATTTATTGTACAGATTTACGAAATCCTGATATCCGTGTGCTTATCTGTGAAGAAAAGGCACCAGTTCTTAAGGTAATTGAGTTTAATTCAGAGAATCACAGAATGGTTGAGGTTGGAAGTGACCTCTGGAGGTCATCTCGTCCACCACCCCTGCTCAAGCAGGGCCACCTAGAGCCGGTTGCCCAGGACCATGTCCAGATGGCTTTTGAATATCTCCAAGGATGGAGACTTCACAACCTCTCTGGGCAACCTCTGCCCGTGCTCAGTTATCCTCATGGTATAAAAGTGTAATTGTATTGCATGTTGTCTAATGAAATAGTGGCTTGAGGTATAAGTTGATAAAAGAATGCACATTGGGTAACAAGTGTTTATTACACCACATCTTCAGTGTATTGGCTTTGTCTCCTAAGTTACATCTGAAATTTAATTGTCTGAAGAAGATAAATGCCTGGCAGCTACCTAAAATATGCAAATTCAAATAGTAATGAAATTGAATATGCGTCAAACATGAAAAGTTATTTTTACCAGACTCTAGTATGGTTTTAAGAAACTAAGCTGGCATTGCCAAGGCTTTAGACAAAAATGCATGTTTCTTAGCAGCAATATATATGTACAGGACTGTGTTAGAATATGTTGCATACTCATGGGAACTGGGAGTAAAATTTATTGTGGGTTTTTTGAACAGCTAAACATGATGTTTTCTTAACTGGAGAAAACTGCATGCACAAGTCTGAGTCTTTTGAAGAGACTGCTTTTTGGATTTTTTTTTTTTTTTTTTTGCTGTCTGTAACTCCCGATGACATAACCTTGGAACGTGTAGGTATATAAGGAGTGTGCGATGGAAACAGATGCCAGCGTATAAGCAATCTGGCTTTCCTTGCGGGTGAACTCTGGCTTAGTATGTTCAGATAAAATCCTGGATCTATTAATGTAGTTTTGAAAAAGTCAGAATCTGAGAAATTTCAGTTCAAAATGGAAAATGAAAGCTATGGTCAGCTGTACAAAGATCAGAAAGGGTCTTCTAAGATCTTAGCTACAGTGATTCGTTGTTGTCCAAGAAGTGTAACAGCAGAGCCAAATGTATAAAGTTCTGCTTTTTCATTAGTACAGAACTTCTTATATTCTCTTTTTAACCATGTGAAGTATTTGAATGCAAAGTAATTCAGAAAATATTGTACCTATCAAACTGTCTGTTAGACAAGATTGCATCACGCTAGAAGCAACTTTAAATACTGGGTGTTTAGACACATTGCATCTACTATTGTCCATGTCCAGAATTTATTTGTTGAATATTTGAAACAATTTCTCTGGAGTTTCAAAAAATGCAGCTTAGTTATTTTTCATTTAAACTTTGTATTTCTGTAGTAAAATGAAGGTAGTGCTGTTTCTGAGATACATCCAAGTATGAAAGCAGATCTACACAGAGCAAATATTAATTGAACAAAGGAAAATTAAGTTAAGCGTGCCTGAAGGTATCTGTTGTTTCATTATTTAGATGGAACTTGATAGATCAGCTGATCCTCCTCCAGCACTTTGGGTTGCAACAACTAAATCCTCTGTGAATAAATGGGTAAGTGATATATTGTACACTCTGTGAATTCAGTTAAGTAGTCATGGGACTTGCAGTCTTCGTTTGGGAACTGTTGGACTGTTGCTTGCAATTTGACTGTGACTTGCTATGATCTGTAAGCTTTCTTTAAGAAAATCATAAAATGCTAATATTGAAATTGATCAAGACATTAAGCTTCGAATTACTTCCTTTGCTATCCATTTATGCTGCTTTTAGAAATAAATTACCTTACTCAGAACTGGATGATTAACATCTAAATAGCAGCATGAACTGGCAGTTGTTACTCACAGATAAAAGCAAAGTTTATAGATTATTATGAATGTGTCATTATTTTGTTTCTTTCTTTAGACTTTGAAGGGAATTCATAATTTTAGAGCATCTGGAGATTATGATAATGATTGTACCAATCCTATACCACCCCTGTGTACACAGCCTGACCAAGTTATAAAAGGTAAACAGCTGTTTTCCAGAGTACCTTATAAAATCTGTTATCATTAGACAGTCTTAAAGATCTACCATATCTGCTGAAGTTTTTAGGTACTTGATACTATGATTTCAAACGAAACAAAGACAATGTGGTTATCATCTATTTGGTGTTAGTCACAGTTAAAATAGTGTTTAAACCTTGGTGATATCCAAGTCTTACATAAAATAGTGAAACCAAAGAACAATCACACAAGTCATGTTATACAGTTTAATGTACTATTAGGAAAAAAAAAAAAAATCACTGTAGTGACCTTAATTCTTGTTTGTTTGCTAGGGGGTGCTAGTATTATTCAATGCCACATTCTTAACGACAAGAGACACATATTAACCAAAGACACAAATAATAATGTGGCATACTGGGATGTCTTGAAGGTAAGTATATAATTTTGGATTAAACATCTACTGTTGGATTATTAATTATTTTGTACCTTTTTTTATATTTTTTTTTTTTTTTTGGGTGTGGGGTTCCTGTGGTAGAAAGTAAGTCATCTTTCTGTCCCAAGACGTAATGCAAAGATTGCTGTTTGAAAGGGGAGGGGGCATTTCTGAGCTTTTCTGCATCTTTGCCTGACGTGAGGCTGACATCTTCATTCGCCTGAAATTCAGACCCTTGAATTCTCTTCTGAAAACAGTAACGTTTGTTTTGATTGGGTTTTGTTTCAAAGCGGGCTCGTAGAGGCCCATGGGCATGTCTGCCCAATGCAGTATGGAATAGCATAAGAAAGCTTAGCCTGCAAAAGGGAAAGCTGTGCTTCAGGTCCTGCTACAAACCCACAGATCCCAAGCGAGTGTGCTGACTAGTAGTCTGTGGCTTATTCTGGGAGCATGTTAGTTGGCAAGATAGCAGGCAAGAAGGCAGGACTGGAAGGAAAATTAGCAAAAGGAAGCATGGCTCCCGCCTAGTGTTACTTGCTCCTGTGAGAAGAGAGAGACTTGGCGTGGCATTTCTTTATCTTGCTTTACCCAAGTGTTGGTCAGAGGAGAGGGAAAAGAGTGCAGAGAGAAAGGACTGGAATCCCAGATCAGTGAGATGGTCAGCAATTTCTTCTCTTGCAAAATCCTGTTTGAAATTCTAAATCTTTTTTTCATCTTGAACTATGCAGTGCCTCAGCCAAGATTCAGTAATGAAGTAAAGCACGCCCAACTAACTTACTGAGCTGCTGACTGAAGTGAGAAAGAAGGGAATTAAGTTGGAGAAGGTGGATTTGTACTAAAAATGATCTAGATGACTTTCGTGGAAAAGTGAATAGCTTGCTTTCTTTCCGTTTACAGTTGGTATATATTTAAGTACAGTGTTAGATCTCAGGACCAAAGTCAAATGCTAATGTTAATTTATACCTTCATTCAATTCCTTTTCTCTTTTGCTAGTAAGGGTTTCGGAAGCATCTCTTAGATATGTTTAAATACATAGTCACTTTAGAGCTGGGGTTACTTGCCAGGTCAAAGTGTCATCTTATGTGTAGGATCACTGCGCTCTAAAGCTGAGACTCTATTGAGGATGCTGGAAGAAAAGAGGGAAGTTTTCTTACCTATAGCTACACCCGTCAATCTTTGCTTCCTGTAGCTTTTCCTGGATTTTGAGTAAATAAGTCTTGCAAGGTTACAATCCTTAGAGTTTGCTTAAAGCACGTGTTTCAGGTTTCAGGATGACTCTTCAAGTGGATTACAAGAATTTGGATGTTAACAGACTTACTTGAGGAACTTCAAAATAAGAGTATAAAGTAAAACAGATAGATAAATTAAAACGGGACAAAAGAATTTGCACACAAATTCACTCACTGCTGTTTCCATTGCAGTAGTTGAGCTGAATTTGTTTCTAGATTTGCAACAAATATTGGTGTTTGGCAGAGAGTTGTGCTGAAGTATTGATACTGATGGGGAGAAGAATGACAGAGGATGCTAGAAGACAGCTATCTGCTCAGTGATAGGGAAAATGTTTTTTATTAATGTGAAGTAATCCTTCCATACCTCTCCACAGGCTGGATGCCACTACCTCAGAAATAAATAATAAATAAAAAATAAAAATTACTTACCACATAAACTATTGTTCAATTTTTTGAGAAAAATTTGAATCTTTAACTTGTGTATTTCTGGACTACAGCACTGAGGGAGAAATCGTAAGTCGTAATCATTCCAAGTGTATATGAAAGTCAAGTAAAAGATTTGAGGTGTTGCTATGAATCAATACTCAGAATTTAAAAACTTGTGTATTTATTTTGGTGTACAGGCATGTAAAGTTGAAGACCTTGGGAAAGTAGATTTTGAAGAAGAAATTAAGAAGAGATTTAAAATGGTGTATGTGCCAAACTGGTTCTCAGTAGACTTGAAAACTGGGGTGAGATACAACTCCTAAATCTGTTGTTCTAATATCATATTTCATAGATTTTCATATAGTGTTTGTTCACAAAGGTTTTAGTGTGTTATAAGTTTTGAAGAATGATCATAATTTATCTGATGGGTTAGATTTATTTTGAAGCAAAACAGCAAATTTTACCTCAGTTTTTAATAATCTGAATAACAGATTATTTTTTTTCCCTCACGGTATGGTCAGTTTAAATCCACCAATACCAATTATGAATTAATACAGTTTGGGAAACAAAGTGTGCCATCATGCATTTAGAAATTCTTTGTTTTGTATTCCCAGCTAAGTATGAACAAAATAAATTTATAGACTTTTTTAATACGAAACAACTATTGCATTCCTCTTCCTGGTGGTCTTTTTCCAACAGATGTTGACAATTACTTTGGATGAAAGTGACTGCTTTGCAGCCTGGGTTTCAGCAAAGGATGCTGGATTTAGCAGTCCAGATGGTTCTGATCCAAAATGTGAGTTTTAACTAGTATTTTATGTTTTATCGAGACAAAAAAGCAGAATAAATTCCAGAGTTTATGTTTCAAAGTATTCCAGTGCCACATACGTCAGTAGCTGGTTGGATTTTAGGGCATATTTTCTTGAGACTAAATTCTGCAGAGAATGCTCCAATGAGAATGTTTGCTTTTTTCTGAAACATTTCAGTCATGTTCAGGTTTTCTATTTAACTTGGTTTTAAACCTTTAAGAAGCAAAAGGGAAAGTGTAGTATTCCTAAACTTGGAACTGTTACCTAATCTAGAGAATGTTAAGCATGTGAGTGATCCAACAGTAATGATTCTAAAATCAGCTTTTTCTGAAAGATTATAACGTATAGCTCTGAGATTGTGATAAGCAGATTTCTCTGCCCATAAAAAGTTTGTTCTGGGAACAGAACAACTCAAACTTTTGGGAAAGTTTTCAGCTGTGGATCAAATGTAGCATATTATGATGCCAACGGTTTTTATGTAACTGAAGTTCTACCTCACTATGTCTTGACAGTAAACCTTGGAGGGCTTCTGCTACAAGCACTTCTGGAGTATTGGCCCAGAACACATATCAATCCAATGGATGAAGAAGAAAACGAAATAAATCATGGTTAGTATTTTCATATTTTCCTTTTTTAGGATTTGTTCATACATTCTGTTTGTTTATATTTCTCTTTCTTTAACAGATACAACTTCACTTGCTGTCTTACACCTGTCTCTGTATGCATTATAGACTAATTTTTTTAATGCTTTTAAATTTGCTTTACACCAAAATTTGCTGAGTAGCTTTCTTCTGAAAGTATCGGCAAAAATCTTAAGAACTCTAGTCCATAAAAAAGTAGGTGAATAGATGATTCTGAAGTTACAGAAGCATGATGCCTTGATGAAGAACAATTACTGGCAAAACTAAAGCTTCACTTGGTACAGAAACAGCCTAGATAATGACAGCAAAGAGCAATAGTTCAGTTATTCAACATTAGCCAGTATTCTCTTGACATAATTGTAATTTGTTTCTAGGTATTATGAACACTATAAAATAAAAGAAAGATTTATTGGAAAAAATATATTCAATGGCTATTGGAATAATACATGGGGGTAGGTCTATACAAAACCATCTTAGAGTGGTGTTTTAAGGCAATCATGCTAAGTCTAATCAGGCATGAGATAAAAAGCACAGCCATGTAAAATGTAAGATAGTGGCTGAATTTGGCAGAATAAAAAAGACTGTATAACTCCTAAGCTTGTGGATTATTTTGAAATTAATTCAACCCAGATCAGCTTTGACTGAAAAGTCTTGTCTTTGGCGATTAAGAAATTACTGTCTACAGATAATGCAACTAAGAAAACTGTAAGTTCAGCAATATCTTGCCATTTTGTGACAAAGACTGTGCCAAGAGTTAGCTACTTTCTTCTTTCAAAAATGACCTCCATGGAGGGTTACAGCACTTGGCAGGCTTTTCTGGATAAAGTTGCTGATTCTTATACTTTTGTGTATTGGCAGTCTACAGCTTGAGCCAGACAAGATATGAGAAGTATAACTCAGGCTTTTATATTATTGGAACACTGATGCTGCACTGCTTATTTCTGTGAATAGTTGTGGATTAGTGGAATGTTTACAGTATTCACTACAGAATCAGTCTTCATTTTGCCTTTCAAAAGTAACAATTAAGAAACTCACCCTGAACAGTGGCTTAAGAAGATAAAGTGTACCTGTTGGACACTGAAATTTGTGTAAAGAGACAAGAACTTAAGTCTACATACATATATATATGTATACATGTGCAGTATCATTCCTCTCAATTATTAACAGAAGCGTTACGAATAAATCTTTCAAACTGTAGGATTTTTCACTTGCTCTAGCTTCAGTATCATATTCATCCCTTCTAATAGAGAATAGATTTTCGTTTTTGGTTTCTTTGCATGATATGATTTTTGACCTTTCTTTCACTATATGTCTTGCTGGTCAGAAAGCTGAGGAATTATTCATCTCATGAGACTATGCCATTTAAATTTCTTATGTTGCTCAAATTCAACATCATGTTCAAATACAGTAACTAGATGCTGCAGTGTGATCGAGATGATCTTTCTCAAGTGAAAAGAAGGCATCTAAATACTTCTATATCGTGTTTCAAGATATCTGACTGACTACAAGCTGCACTGTTCAAGAGGTGCATAAATAATACTGATTTTTCTTTAATCTTATCCTATCCATCTGATGTGGAATCAGGTTCCTCAGTGTTTGAAGACCATACTGCTATAACTAGCTAAAAATAAATTGAATTTAGAATGCAGTAAGTTCAAGGAAATGTGAGTCCGAGCTTTACTAGCGTGCTATTTTGACATCTGGCTAATCCAGGTAGAAGAGCAAAGCTAACATCCTTCAGAGTTCTGTACTGTCAGTGTAGAGGGGAAAAATAGTCTTGTCTCAGTGGAATCTCTTTAGTTGATTTCTAATATTAGTATTGTTCAGTTTGACAAATCCTCAGAATTCTGTTAAGGAACTGGAGAAAACTAGTAATCAGGTTTTGGCTCATGAGCTCTATTGCCCTTTTCTCAAAGGCTTTTGAAATAGGCCTTCCACAAACCTGTACTGCTCTCTTTACTCTCTAGTGTTCCTTTTAGTAGACTCGCTGTGTGTTGGAAATGGGGATTTTCTTGTTTTTTGTGAAGCTTATAATTTTGTTAATTTTTGAAATACATTAGCTGCAGGTGGAAAAGACACTTTTTGGTCTATGTATACCCAATTTTAAGGCCTAGTGCAGTCTCACTGTTGTGTATATTTTTTTTCCAACAGTGAATGGTGAGCAGGAGAACAGAGTCCAGAAAGGAAATGGATACTTTCAAGTGCCACCACATACACCAGTTATTTTTGGTGAGGCTGGAGGACGCACTTTGTTCAGGTATAAAAACTCAAGAGTGTAAATTCAGTGGCCAAACAATCACTTCCTTTGTGCAGGCAGAAATGCTATCAAAATGTAATACTTGCGTCTGTTCTGTACTGTACATTCAAGACATGCCCTTGGCAGGCAAAATCAGCAGCTGTTAATGATAATTTTGCATTGTCCAACTGAGTATGTGGGTTTGAACATCAACAAGGTGTGGCGTTTTACAACGGTAAGAGTTGTATATTGTTCTTCATTGTATGTCATAGCTTTGAGATCTGTTTGGGTGCCCTCTTCCTGCAAACTGATTAACTGAACTTTGTTTTAGAATGAAATTGTGCTACTTTAGATTCTTGTAGAACTTCTCTTACGGGTCTGTTGTGCTGGTCTTCGAGCGTTAATGACTCAGACAGGAGATCCTACTCACCTAGAGAGTTGGTTTCTTCTCCCAAAATTATAGTTGATGACCCATTAGAAGGTCCTAAGCTCTGGCAGGTAGGAGCACAGGTTCTGTACTGTAATGTGTATATGCTGATTACCTTTCTATTTCTTTTCATTCTACATTGAAAAGCCTAACTGTGATATATGATACGTCAGACACAGTTTAATAGTGCTGCAAAACAAATGCCAAGCTTTCAAATACCATGAAGCGTTTAATATTTGCTGACATAGTGGATTTTAAATTTGAGGGGTGGGGGATGTTTGATTTGTTGGTTTTGTTTCCCAGGCTGAATAGGCCCAAAAACTATGTAACTTTCAGTTCATGAATTGGTCAGTAAAGCAGGGTAACCTTTTTCAGCTTTGAAACTGATTTTTTTTTTTTTTTCCCTGCAGTATCAATGTATTTACACTGTAGCTGGGGCTTAATATTTGCATCCATTTTGTACTGGTGGATCTTATGACTTATACAGCTTGTTCTCAAGAGAACGCTGAAAAGACACCATCGGAGGGAGCAAGCCATGCTTATTGGACCTAAAAAGTGGCTTGCAGGACACTCTGACAAAATACTTAATTGGAATTTATAAAATTATATGTGGCTTTGTTTCACCATTGTACGTGCGCATTTCTTAAAATCGGTTTTATTCTTTCCATTTGGTGAGGGCTTAGCAGATGCTTTACATGCAAAGCTCGTTTTCCCAAGCAGAAAAGAATTGCTTTGTGCCAGGTGCCTTTCCCCTTCTCCTGACAGTTTTGTACTTCAACACACAAACATATGCAATCCACAAGCAAAGCAGTTTTTTAAATTTCTCTGTGCCATAGCCTATAGTCTCCCGAGATACTTTTCCCTGTTTCTGCTCTAGGGATCTGTCTTCTTCCTGCAGCTACTTTTTCTGGTCTTTACAGAAAATATGTGATCACTTCCCCAATAAGTTTGATGATGTGAAGGGCCAGCTAACTGAGTTCAAGCTCCCTGCCCATTAAAGGGGCAGGTCCTCTCCTGAAAGCTTTTTAATGCACATTACGATAATTGTTTTCTTTCACAAAGGTTATTTCTGTATGTCTTAGGTTATTATGTCGGGATTCAGGAGGTGAAACTGAATCTATGCTTCTTAATGAAACTGTGCCACAATGGGTAATTGACATCACTGTGGATGTAAGTATCGTGTGTATAGATTATGCTTTTTTGTTGGGTTTTTTTTCAGGTGAACTACACTTTTTTTTAACTGGACAGGATCTGAAATGACATTTTAAATTTTTGCTCTGTTTGTATTTAAAATAAGTGGTCTCAAGGTCTGTATTCAAGACCCTTTGAGATTCAATATTTTTTTGATGTGTCCAATTAAGGTGTGTTTGCTCACTTTCTTCTGACAGAAAGTCTTAGAAAAAGAATTCAAAGCACTGTGTATAATTGGTATCCTTTTCAAGTGTGGCACTCAGAAACAGAGAATACTCTTCATATTGCTGCAGTCTTTTGATACTATCTAATTTCCTTTGAAATAAATGATAATTTATATTCAAAAGCTAGATGATACGTGCATCATCTAAATTGAAGCATCTCAGGAGTATGAGTAATTTGGAAGTTGGCTGTGGTGGTGATGTTGATTAAGAATCTCTCTTGGTTTTTGATAATTAGGAGCTGAATATACTTCACATGGCAGCTGCTGGAAATAGGAGCTGGTAACAGTTCATCCTAAATTAACACTTTTTAAATTTGTTTCTTTCTAGAAAAATATGCCCAAATTCAATAAGATTCCTTTCTACCTCCAACCTCATTCATCATCAGGGGCAAAAACTCTAAAAAAGTAAGTAATGCATATTTGACTCTCAAAACTGCAGAAAGAGAATTGCAAGCTCAATCCCCACCCCACCCCACCCCAAAAAAAAAAACCCGGTTTGCCAGAGAATCGTATTGTGCTTGATGAATTTGTAGAAGTTTCTAGTTATTTAAGCAGCATCACTTTGAAGCATTGAATTATATCAGGATATTTGAAAGAACTATAGGTTTCTTTTGGGTTCAATGGGCAGTTGCTTTAAGTTTATGCTAAGAAATGTCCAAAAAGTAACTACTGAAATTAGACTTTCTGTCTCTTGTGGTATTTAATCAGAAAACAGAGGAACTTATAGATTGTTACACTGTTCAGAACCACAGTTTTATGTTATGTTTCCTATTGCTAATAGTGATGAATTATAGCTTTTTAAAAGGAAAAGGTACAAAACCTGACAGTAGGGAATGCAAGATAGTCTGCCTATCACATTAGCTGTAACTGGGAGCTATATAGGTTAGAAATCAATGCAGGTCCTCAGGTACGAAGTCAACGTCATAGACAGTATGCCTACCATTTATATGCAACAATTTTTGGTACTTTTCACAAATGCCTAGTTCCTCTTTAAGTCTTATTGAATTCTTCACATCAGAGACAATTTGGGAAAGAGGAGCTTCACAGGCTTTTTGCGTACTTTGTGGAAAAACTGCTGCTGCTTATGGCTTTAGAATGCCCTGTTAATGTAGTAGGGTGAACAGCATATTCTGGCTTACCTCTTTTATTATTCCATATCCTCTGTCCTTCTCTTACTGATTCCTTTTCTACTGAAAGAATGAGGGTTGTGTACAATACTGTTCATCTAAGGTTTGATTTTAATTCGGTCTTTTGAATATCTTACCACTTTTCTGAGTCCCTTTTGCTGTGTGAATCTTTGGATAAATAGCTGTTATGATCACGGTATTCTGGAAGATCCTGATAATTTACTATTAAACTTACAATATAAAGAGCTTATCTGTGTACTTGCATAGTTTGCTACAGATTAAGGTATTGCAAAGATAAGAAATACAGTTTCTCAAGTTTTTCCCTGCCAAATTTTGCTTACCTTATATAGAGACCGACTGTCAGCAAGTGATATGCTTCAGGTGAGAAAAGTGATGGAACACGTGTATGAGAAAATCATAAACTTGGATAATGAGTCTCAGACAACTAGCTCTTCCAATAATGAAAAAGCAGGAGAACAAGAAAAAGAAGAGGACATTGCTGTGCTAGCAGAGGAGAAGATTGAACTTCTGTGCCAGGACCAGGTAAGTTACTTGGGTGTTTTAGCCTGTGAACAAAACCAATGTCTAGCAATGAATCAGTTGCGAATTTCTGAATACTGAGCTTGAAATATGCTATAGACTATCTGTTACCTTTAAAACTAAGTAAATGTTTTGACATCATGTTAACTTACTGCTGACACAAGTCCAGACAGCTGCAGATAGCCGGATCAAAGAATTTATATAGTATGCCTGTTTAATTTGGTCTGACTAGTAGCCTTTATAGGATTACTTACTCATACTCAACAAATGGACCTAATACAATTCCATAGAGTTCCATTTCTAGCATTTTTGGAATGTTCTGAATTCTACATTTCTAGCAGAGTTCAAAATTTGTCCAAAATCATGAATTGTCTAGCAAGTGTAATAAATGCATGAAGATTAAATATTGAGGAGGTGGTTGTAATACAAAGTTATATGTTACATTGCTAAAATCTTCCAGTAATGCGTCAGGTTTACTTGCTCGTTGAAAAATCCGAGCCTTTGCATGGTTCATCTTTGATGCCAGTTCACCCAGAGGATTGTTTTGCCCAACCACAGTGTTTTATCTTTGAATTTCTGCCAATCTAGCAGATCTGTGGAATGAAAGATGAATTTTTACTGTTTAGGTTTTGGATCCGAATATGGACCTTCGAACTGTAAAGCACTTCATTTGGAAGAGTGGTGGTGATCTGACACTTCATTATCGCCAGAAATCAACGTGAAGGGAGCGGTGGACCCAAATGGTTATTTACTTGACCGTACTGTACTGGTTCCAAGAGTAGTACTATAGAAGCCCACTGAACCCCTAAGGTAGATGAGACTTCTAATGACTCAGTATGGACGGAAAGTATACATTTAATTGAAGTGACTAATAGATCTGTAATATAGAGGAAAAAAATCTATATGACTTAAACTAAAGTCTGTCCTAGTCTCAGCTAATGAGATGGGAAGTCCCTGAGTGGTTCGTGTTGTGTGAGGTGTACAGAGAACGGATGATAATCCAGTGCAGACTTTTGCTTCCTCCTCTTTGCTTTTGTTTTTCCAGAACATAATATCCTCATCTGCTCATGCTTGATATGAAACCATTTTGGCCATATTAGTCGCTGTGTTCACAATATAATTCAGAACTGCACAAGGTATTTTTAGTACATTCCATTCATTAAGTTCCTACAACGATTTCTCACAGGTTACTCAAACATTTCCACCACTTAAAGACATTTGGAAAAGAAAAACAACAGAAAATAGGTATTGCATACTTGAAAGAATCGGCCCATTTAATTGCAAATGAAGGGTTAACATTAGAATTGTTTTAATACTGCAACGCAATTGTTGCTTTAGAGAGCTGTTGACATGCAGAATAAGAACACTAGATAAATATTGTAGCAGGGTCAGTCCAATGATGCTGTGCATCATAATAGAGTGAACAGGCTTTGCAGCAACTTAAGAGAATTTTTTTTTTTTTTTTAAATATATATAACTACTTCCTGCACTGTGTCCTAGGTGTTCTAAAGACACACTAGTCTAATTTTTGGTAACTGTGCTCCAAAACTATGTGACATTTTGTTAAAACTTCAGACCATCCTGAAAATAACTTCATACGTTTAACGTTAAACTTTAGAAACTTCTCAGCAGATTTCATATTCATGATATAAAAATACTTATTCTTCTTTTCCAAAGTTTTATATGCAGTTGTTCTTTTGTTATAGATGTATGCGGATCTTCTTTTCACAGTTATTTCTAAAAATCTGTGACTGTCATAGACTCATAGTAGTCTTTTATAGAGTTTAACTTATTGGGGGGAGGGGGTAAAGGCATTTCAACTTATCGTGAGAAAATGTGGGGCTGTCCCAGAAAACCATTTGTAGCCAGAACAAATTACAAATCCTCGTAAAGAAATTGTGTAAAAATGACTCTTGTCTGAAGCAGAAGCACAAGTGCCTTCAAAGGGCAGTATATTATTCGAGTTTCTTCAGGAGACATATGCTCTTGCCCTTCCTGTATCTTGCCATCAAGATTTAGGTTGAGGCCTAAAGAAAGTCCCAATAAATTCTATTACTGGGATTGTATTGGTCAAACAAAAAGTAAAATATTTTTCATCGTATTTTGTTCGAAAAAATAGTCAAATCATTACCTTCTGCACTCTTAACCTAGCTAAACAAACTCATTGCTTAAATAAAAAATATGGTTCAGAACTAAGCTAGCGTATCTTTTTCCCTGTCTTTTGAGAGTCAGTTTTAGTTTTTAATCCCCATTTCTGTGTATGCTCAGTTTGACACAATTGTGCTATAACTGCACATTTTTAGTGATATTTGTGAATTAAATGGTTAAACACAACTGTAACTTTTATTGATGAATTGTCCTGACTTGTATTTATTAATAGCAAGGGTCTACGCTTGTTCCAATAGGCACTGTTTGGGTTTGGTTTTTTTCCTGGTTGTCTTGCTGTCCCGTTGTATACATTAGAATTGCTCCCAGTAATTTTGTTTGAAATCAGCCAAGGTTGTAATTTTTCTTCTTTTTTTTCTTTCTAACCATCCCGAAACACAGTTTCAGGAAAGATTGACAGAAGAGTCTGCAATGCCAGAAGGGTAAATGATGTTTCACAGTTGTATAGAATAAAAGGCTTTAGTTAAAATATTTTCCAGTTGTTTTGTGTATTGGATCAATTATGCAATTTTAGAGCTTGGACCATTGCCACTTAATGGTTGTACTACAAAGGACTTCAAAGTCCTTTGAAGCCTCAAGTAATGGAATGGCTGAAGAAATGGCAGTGCCTTCACAAAATCCCTTAAAGCTGATCTTGTTATGCGGTTGGATATAAGAATTCAGCAGGCAGGCAAGCCTTCAAATACAAGCTCTGAGATACTGTTGAGGTGGAGAACGTGCTCAAGTAATGCTGTTCGCGTGGGCAGTGCGTGCTTTTGTACTATGGAAATGTTTTGTGCTAACACCAATGTAGTACATAAGAAAAGACAGCTCTGCTACAAGTGACTCGTGCCAGGTGACACTGAGCTTTCTGGATGTGGAAAGGTTACAGCCCTGCAAGAGACACATGGGAAGCCAAAACTGGGTTTCCTGATGCTGAAAATGCCAGTACAGAATACTCAAAGCCTTTGCTGTGGGGACTGTCAACTGGGCTGCTCTTGGAGAGAACACGGTAATTCAGTGACCGAATGTGTTCCCAGAGACTTCCAGCATCCATCTTAGATGGAGTGTCAAGCGAGAGGAGTGTTTTGCTACTCCTTTTTAATGTCTGTCACCTTTTCTGAAGTTGTGCTCTCTGTAAGAGAAGGCAAGAACAGGAGAGGCCCCTGCACAGCATCCAGGAGTTAACGTGAGAGTCACAGCTCACGGGGGCATTATGAACAGATAGAGTTCCATTTTGCCAGAGTCATAGGAAAGGCCATTGATTTGTAGAAGTTTCTTTAATTTCCAAGTTTGTATTGGAAAGGAGTTGTAAATCTATTAGTGTAACCTGTCTCCTGGAAAAACATTTAATTTATCTATTACCGGTGATTTTTTTTAATTTTTTTTATTTTTTCCTCTTCAGGTGGGGCAGCACTGAGAACAGGAGAGAGAGCAAGGCTCAGTAGTTGCAGCTGAAGTGCAAGTATCATTTTAGGAAGAGAAGAACTACTTGAAGGATTTAGCATCAATTTTTAGAAACACACACACAAAAAAAAAAGCTCAAAATAAGCCATAGGCAGAAGATAATAACGTAGTTCTACTTCATTGCCAGAAGCGGTGAGGAAAATAAGGGACTTGGGACTTATTAGTTCGATTGTTCATATTCCATGGGAGAGGGGCAACCAGGGGACTGACAGTGCACTCCTCGGTCAGTCTTGAGCAGAGCAGTGTGGAGAGCTGCTCAGAGAACAGCTGTCCAACGGCTCAGATCATGCAAGCTGAAGTGTGGGCGACTATTCAACACGTAGATCTGAGAGTTGCTGACTCAGGGCAGAGAGGGAAGTTGCAGAGGTCAGTTTGCTGAGGTGAGTTAGTGTGGAGGTGCCAGGGAAAGGGAGAGAATGCGTTTGCCAAAGGTGAAGGCAGAGAGTGACTGTTAATGGCATGAATCCAGTTACAGGACTCCAAATTTTGGTCAGTACGTTACACCGAGGTATTACTTTTTCTTTCACAGAGGTCCCATTTGATTCAGACTTCATCCCTAGAAATTTCTTGAACTTGACATTTAGGATCAATCTTTAAGCACCCACTTGCAGATGTGCAGATGGCTCCCGAACGGAGCCAGGTGGAGTTACTACCCAGCTGGATAACAGAACTGTTAAAAGCACATGCACACTTAAATATCAAGAAAATGATTGACTAAAATAGTTTCCTGTACTATGTGGTGGAGGTTTTTCTGGTAAGCAGCTGTACAAACATCATGCAGACCAGAGGCACGGATTGGAGACCGGGTGGGATATGCCCCATCTCTCTCTGAGGATATTGTTGACACTGTTCTAGCCATCTTTTTCATGGGACTGTGAATGCTAAATTACTTATTGTAGCTTAGAAATGTAACTTAAACCAAACACTTGCTTTGAAATTGCCGTTACAGCAGAACCAATGCAAATTAGTATTTGCTTAAGTCAAAAGCAGAGAGGGAGGATGTGTGGACATTAGTAGTGGCAATGCCCAGGAAATAACAGATTAGCACAGTCAAATCAAATGCCGAGAGTAACCTGTAGCTGGTGTCACTTAACAGCCAGAGGCAGTGGCGCCTAGTTCTTTCATAATTGCCTGGGGGTGAAAATATTTGCCCAGTTATGGGGGAAGATGGGGAAGGGTAAGGGTGCTGAGGGGAATGCTGAATTAAAGGTTTCTCTCTGGGAGGCTGCCTCTGCTGCTTTCCATTTCTGCTAAATTCATGGTGCAGCAGCACAGGGGTGCTGGAATAGCTGAAGTCTCCCGCTTCCCCAGTTAGTGCTAGGTGAGATTAAATTCTGAACGCCCAAGCAGCTGGAAATGCATAATTCAAGTCCATCACTAGACATGCGAGTGGTGTGATCTCTACTCAGTGTTGCAGTCTATCTTCCCGCAGCATTTCTCAGTTGCAGCTAAGAGGAATTCAGTCAAGTGTGGCAGCTTGGATGAGCAGCTTCTGAACACGGCCTAGAGTGGGACAGCAGAAGATTCAGTAAATTGTCAAGCCTGCTGTGAAAGTTTAAGAGGGAAAACAAAGTCATCGCTGCCTGAATTTGGTATTTCAACAGTTCTTGCCAGTAGTTGTTCACCTGAAAGACACTAAATACTTTCATTCACACATTGGAGTTCGGCTGGAATTAGTTCAGCATATTGCTGTTAATAATGAGATTTGCGTGTTTGTCTCTAGGATGGTTATTTCCTTATCGTGATTTTTAGGGGTTAGGATCATTCCTAGTACAGGGTTATTGCTGTCTGAAGTTCCCCTGAATCAAGTCATTTACTTCAGAAGGGAGGGCTTAGTCCCACCTGCCAAAGTTAGCCTTGCTTGGGGCAGGGCTCGATCAAGTTGCTCCGGCCTTGGTTGAGCAGAGTTGTGAGTATCTGGGTGGGTGGAGGTCCCACAGCCTCTCTGAGCACCCACCCTGTGTTTAACCACCAGCGCCCGGGTGCTCTGGCTCGTTAGGGTTAGCGGAGGCACGGCTCAGTGGAGATGAGCTTTGCCTAATCCTTGCTGTTAATACTTGAGCTCCCGGTAGCCTCTTTGGATTTAATGTCTGCCAGACTCTGTCCTCAGGCTTGGCTATTAATATGAGAGAGCATCTCGGGTCTGGAAGCTTATCCTGTTGTGTCTGGCCATACCAAACCTCTGTGCAGTGTCCAGCTACACAGCCACTGCATCCAAGCTCTAAAATTAGTACAAAGCACTCTAAGGTGACATCCTCCTCCCTTTGTTTTGCCCTCCTTGTGATACTGCTGAGGTAATTCCTCTTGTGTCTGCAGAAGAAACATCACCGTCGGGTTTACAGATGCCCTCAAAGTTTACAGATGCAAACAAGGTAATACACAGCTCTCCTACTTATGTGGAAACAGTAGCTGTTTGGGACAGCACCCGATTGATTGTTGGGGTTTTTTCTAAACTTTTGTTTCAAATCCCAAATACAAAAGTGGGCGGTTCAAGCCATTTCACTCAAAGATAGCTCCG